CTACCCAATACCCACAAAAATGAGAAAAGTGGGCAAGTCTTTTTTCAAAACAATTGTGTTACTTTTTCATAGCTAATGAAGTATTGTCATATAGTAAGCACCTATGTATCTCTACGGTTTGGTCCCAAAGCACTGCTATACTGCCTCTGCTACAAGGGGATGTTGTATATGTTCTGCCTCTTTTCTCAATACATTTCTTGCGACCTTGTTGACTATTTGCAACAAAACAATTGATGGTTCTGTGATCACGCCCCAATGTCTTAGCAGTTTAATGTGTGCTACATCCCTCTGAAAGACTTTTTTTTATTTTACAATTTTTTACTTTTCAAAGTCAGTTAAATCTCTTTTTTGGCCGATTTTGCTTGAAGAAAAGAGGCTGCCTAATAATTATGCACACCTTGATATAGGGTGTTGATCTTCCTAGGCCACACCCTCCTTCATTACGCAAATACACATCACCTGATATACTTAAATCCAATAAGCATTCAAGTTTATACAGCTATTATACAATATTACATATATACAATATTACATTATACAATATGCATAAAAATGATCATCTGGTCAAAAAACCTCACTTGCCTAATAATTGTGCACACAGAGTAGTGATGAATGACTATATAACATAGTGGGGTTGATTTACTAAAAATGGAGAGTGAAAAATCTGGTGCAGCTGTACATGGAAATAAATCAGCTTCTAACTTCAGCTTGTTCAATTAAGCTTTCACTATAATGCTCTATCCACACTAGAGTTTTTTTAAGCTTCTAGAAGCCGTTTCCAGCATTTTTTTCGTGCTCCTAGAAGCTAAATAGTGTTATCCTACGTGTCCATGCACACTACTTTAGGCTATTAGGAGCAGGAAAAAATGTTTTTGTAGAGTGTTTTGGAGCATTTTTCAAGCAGAAAAAAACACTAAACGCTCTTAAATGCTCTTAAATGCTCCTAAAACTCTCCTAACAGATTTTTTTTAAAACCTGGAAGGTGGTTGGTTTCTATGCAGAGCTGCACAAGATTTTGCACACTCCATAGAAGTAAATCAACCCCATTGTTTTCTTTGAAAAACCCATTGCAGTTACTAATACAGAAGAAAAGTATTTTCCTTTTGGAAAGAAACCAAAATGCATTCAAAGATTTGACACCCTGATAAAAATTGTGTCTTTATCCACCAATGCCACTACTTCATGGTGACTCAAAGCAATAAAATATGGGGATCGCCTTTGGACAATCATCAGTGCAAATGGTTACAATGGGGCTCTCCTTGGGTGAAATAACAAGCTGGCAAAGCTATATTATCATAGGCAGGGATTTTCTGATGAGCTGTTCTGAAATCTCTGTGTTACCAGTAGTCAGCGGTTCCCTTTCTCATGGTATAGATATTTTAACATGCAAGAATACCCTTTATTTGAGTCAGAGAGTGAAGGTTGAGACAGATCTGGATCATGAATGCAAAACCAGGCTGAGGTATAAGTGACATACCTTTCCATCTCTGGCCAACCTTAGTGCATTCACCATGTAAGATTGTTCTACCTGAAGACTTGTAGGAATTGTACAAAATTAATTAAGATATAAAGGACTGGTCTACATTGGCTTTCTCCAAAACTAGGCCTTGTTATTGATGAAAATTATTCTTAGTAGAGATCTTCTTTGCCACTCGCATTTTTATAAATTGATATTGAATTTTACTTCCTTTTTGTTTTAGTGTAGAAGATTCTGTTTTCTGTTTTTACTTCTGTCTATGACCCTTTACCCTCACCTTCTGTACCTGTGACTCGCATACAAAAATGGGATGGGCAGCTGTCACCAGGACAGGAAGGCATGAACAGAAAAAAGAATGTAAGTCATTTTGGCTGGTGTTTGGTTTTAAATAGGCTATAATATTGTGAGTTATGAATGCAGCATCCCTGGAACAACACTTTGGCCCAATGAGTAATTAATGGATCTGATAAATACCTGAATAAAATGGCTCCATCCTTCTGGGTAGAAAGGAAGATGAAACCATTTTATGGGGGAATACTGTGATCTCTTTTGACTGGTAATAAATACCTATAAAGGTTGTATTTTCACATTAGTTAGAATATGTGCATATAGTATGAAATCTCTGCAGCTACAGTAGGTCCACTTTAAGTGTAAACCCTGTCACCAACTCTATCTAATTGTTATTGGATTTGATCCAGTTTATTTCCATGGCAGCCAATGCTATTCTTTGCTCTAGTCACAAGGAACAAACAGTAATTGCAGGCTTTAGAAATTCTCAGTGAGTGGTCATAAATTACTTTTGATCTAAGTAAACATATAATAAATCTCCACCAGTCATCAGCTTGAAAACCTTTGCAAAGTCTGTCCTATCATGCAAAATGTATTGGTAAATGCACTTTCATCATATCCTTCCTTGACTACTGTCCCATTTTCCTGTGTTATATTACAACAGAAAGTCTTGTACCTCTCTATTCTATCCTTGACTCACTCACCTCTTCTCTCACTCTAAAGTAAAATCTGTACTCCATCTTAAAAGCTATAGTACTGTCCAAAAGCAAACACTGCAAGGTGCCTGTTATTATCTTTACTATCTACAATGTTGCTCTTATTATGTCTATTTTTTTATTGAGGTCGGACTTTCCATGATTTATGGCTAATCCCTAACAACTTTCCTTTCACTGTCCAATGGGACTTCCTCAGCGTCCAGTAAGGGAACTCTAATTGGAAAGTCGGCTGCAGAAATGCGAGCAACAGCTTGTCCTTTCATTTGCCAGTTCCAGCAAACCTGCAAGCTTTGTTAAGCCTTTATCTCCTTCCTTCTTTTCACCTCCAAAGCAATTTTTTTTCCATATTAATCTTTTCCCTTTTATATTTTTGTTTTGCATTCTGTTCATATTTTAATGTTACAGTAAAAAATTTAAAAATAAAGAAATCCTTTTGATTTCATTTGTAAACAATATCATCATGTGTTGTGGAAGAAAGATACTTTTTGTATTAAAAATAGTACAATCTGCAGAATAAAAATTGTAATTTTGCAAAAGGAGACTGGGGAGTTAAAAGTTGCCCTTGTTCCCAAATTGAGAAAGAAATTTGTTTATCATATTCCTAATTAAAACATGGCACTGTTTTATCACATTGACATGCTAATTTTGACTAAACAACACCTATTGAGCCATGCTGTCACTACAGTACACATAGCATTATCCAACCCCATCCTCATTTGGTTTTCCATAGATCAGAAGGTGGCATCCCTATTTTAGCCATATAATTATAGTGGTTCTAAAGGTTTAAGGTTTTTTTACCTTCATGCATTTTATACTTATATCTGTGTGCAGCAGCCCTCCAAGCCCCTCTAATACATACCTAAGCCCCTCCATGATACAGCGATGTGCGCAAAAGTCACAGCTCTCCAGGGACTTTGCCTCCTCATTGGCTGAGACATCAGAGGGAGCAATTGGCTCCTCCTGCTGTTGATCACAGTCAGTGAGCCATTGAGAGAGAGGGGGCGGGGTGAGCCGCCACTCTGTGAGTCAACGGTCATGCAGAGCAGTGGCTCAGGAGTAAGCCTGCTTGGGTGCCTCCATAGCATGCTGTTTGTTCTGGGGGCACTTGGCAGGAGGGAGGGGCCAGGAGCGCCAGCGGGGGACCGGAGAATAGGAGGATGGGGCTGCTCTGTGCAAAACCACTGCACAGAGCAGGTAAGTATGACATGTTGTTTGTTTTTTTGTTTTAAACTTGCCTTTAATATCACTTTAGGAAATCTACCCTGCGGTAACAAAGTAAAGCTAAATTAGGGAGGGCCACCATTTTGTTAATATAGGTAAAAGGCAAATGTATAACTGTCTAGTTACTAGTTTTAAAGGTTTTAAATAAACATGTACACTTTAAAACAGATCTTTACCTGCCACTCCCATTTTTTTCTTACCACTGCATACAGGGTGGTGTTTTCTGTATAGTTCAGATACGATACTCACCCACCCAGCAGATCCAGCGTTGTCTGGCTGAGATCCTCTTGTCTTCTGCCACTGCTCAGTCTCATGCCACCATGTTGTTTGTGACATCATCAAGAGACCCACCGGCTCATCTGGATTCAGTCGGCTAGCCTTCCGATGATGCAGCGCAAGGTCCGCCACCTCCTTTATAAATGAAGGGCTGTGCCTTCTGGGATATGTGACATGCATATCCCAAGAGGCACAGCAGGCACCTATGCATGTTTTTTGCCTAGGCAACTGATGTGCATGGGGGGTGGGGCCAGACACTTTTCATAAAAAAAGGGAAAATAAACAAACAAAAAAAGGCAGCACTATTCTTGTAGAGGAGGGGAGGGGGTGGATAGGAGGGATGTTTATTCAAAGGGTGAAGATCCACTTTAAGGAGTCTATTTGCATTTTCACACAAGATTCACATAACGTTTGTAGCACCCTCCCAGGTAGGATGCTAGGATGTATATAGTCTAGGTTAGCATAGTGTGGTCTCCTGCTTAACACGTGACTGCAAAACAAAGCAAGTTTTCTGCGAAACAGAAAGCTACAATTGTTTATTGTCCATTCACGCACGGTGCAACAGCTTGGCCCTAGCCCTCCTCTCTCTCCTCATTGGCTGACTGGCTGTGATTGAAAGCAGCAGGAACCAATGGCTCCTACGTACTGTCTCAGCCAATAGGGAGGCAGAGACCTGGGACAGCGGAGACCGTCGTTCACTTTGCTGGATCTCGATGGGACTCAGGTAAGTATTGAGGGGGTTGTGGGAGCTGCTGCACACAGAAGGATTTTTACCTTCATGCATAGAATGCATGTAGATATAAAACCTTGAGCCTTTACAACTGCTTTAAGGCTCAGACAACTGCAAAAATGCATACAAATCTCTATAGAAATGCTCTAAAAAAGATTGCAAATTGCCCAAAGACACTAGCTCAAGTGTGAATGTACTAGCTGCCAATTAAATAAGAATATTTTCCAAATCTCTAACTTAAACCTACATCTGGCACCAAAGAGTTATTGCGTTCTTTGCTTTACTACTGTGGTCAGCATTGCTTTACTGAATAAGCCTGCATATGTAAAGTGATTTCCAGACATAAAGTCGGTGCTGTATTATATTTTTGAATAAGCAAATCCCCTCGTTTCTCTTTGGACATGAGCTTGCTGTAAAGTCCAGACATACCTTGTACTGCCAGTTCTTTCCATCTTTCCTTGTTCTGTTGAATTATTTCAACCAAATTCTTTTTGAAATGTTGTAAGTCCACAGATGCCAAAGAGTATTCCATTACTGATCCTCCATCAGTCTGCGAGGTTCGCATGCTGGGTTTTCTTTGCGTGTCTGTACCACGGCCAGCTTCAGAATTATTCAGACTAGAAAAGAAATGCATTTTTAATGGAGTGTAGCCAAATCACCTTTTCAACTATAAAATAATTATAATGATGAACAGTGTTATGTTACAATTCAAAGCAATGTGTGTGTCTGCAATCTTTCAGAATTTTGGTGGCTGGGTATCTAAATCAGGGCAAGTTGTTTTCTCGAATCCATGATGGTTTAAAGGCATAAACACATCACTGACCACAAGGCTATTATTTTTACAAGCCAGCAGTCACACAGTATTACAAGTCCATGAGTGATTTGTATAGCTCTAGAAGGGTTAATATTGTGGGGTGAAGAAAGCAGTCTCAAGCATTAAAAATAAAAGATCCTGGTCTGTAATCCATCCGTAACAATGGTAGTTTTGGCACTTTGTTTAGAATCAGTGTGATAAACATTGGATTTCTCTTTAATAGTAATATCAGTCTTCCTAAAACATCTACAAGAAATAAACAACTACTCTTTTAGTAAAATAAGATTGCCAGAATGGTATTGGATAGTAGGGGGATACAGGACATATATGCATAGGATACTCAGGGAGGTATTAATTACAAAAAGAAAACAATCTCCTGCGCTCAAGAGAAGTGTGTTGGCACATGTATAGGCAGATAATGGATTTGGTAACTTCAGATGTTCCATCATGACACCGGCTTTGCTGCCCTCCAGCGGGTCGGGGAAACCCAGAGAGATACGTGCAGAAAACACAAGGAAGAGAGTACACACCAGCCTAGCGCATTACTTCAGCGATTACCTTATTATTGTATAAGAAACAAATGTAAACTCAAAAGCAACATCATAATAATTGCACACCATTCCACAGTTAACTTGGAGCAGCCTGGTCCCCTGAACAAGTCCCAAGTGCAAATAGGTGAGCCAAAATTGTCTCCAAAATTGACTAAGGAAGAGAGGATCTCCCCTTGAAACGCGTCAGTTTTTTGGATCGCCTATAAGCACCTGGGACTTGTTCAGGGGACCAGGCTGCTCTAAGTATACTGTGGGTTAATGTGCAATTATTCTGATGTTGCTTGTGAGTATACATCTTTCTTATACAATATTAATAATTTAATAATATATTAAAGTTATCACTGAGGTAATGTGCTAGGCTGCTGCGCCCTCTCTTCCTTGTGTTTTTTGCAGGTATTAAATATGCTGATCCAACTATATTCCACCATTACATATAACAAACCCCATTGACTTAAAGGGTAACTCCACTTTCATGGCAAAAAAAGTAAATAAAAAACAATATACCATATACCAGGGGTGCTCAACCTTTTGAAAAGCGAGGGACACTTAAGTGGCCACAATGAAATGAAATGGTTCAGAATTTCTAATTTCTTACTCTGAATAGCATAATGAACATTTTCTTCCTGCAGCCGCTGATTGCTGGTGGAAGGGAGAGAAGGAGTCGGCTTTCAGCAGTTGCAGGAAGAAAATGGAGACAACCGGTTTCTGTGTATGCTGCCCCCACCGCCCAAACATAAAACAGCATGTGACAGGTCCCCCTGGAGCATGGGGCAGGGTCATCATTGTGACCCCTGTTACACCAGTGGTGGGGGGGGGGTAAAAGCACATCTTGACTATGGGGTTTTATTGACTCCCAAATATAAATGAGCTCTTACTGTCCTGAGCCCCCTCTAAGGCTGCATTCACATTGATGCACTGCAGTTTACCTGAACCAGAAGCTCATCTACGGCTTTCCTGTGAGTTTGCTGCAGTTTGCCATAGACTTCTATTATATCTTTCTTGCTGGTGTGGTGCACAAAAAATTGCTGCATTCAGAAGTTTTGATGCACTTTCAGAAAGCGCACCAAACCAGCAGGATATAATAGAAGTGCACTTCCCTGGTTTGAGGCCGAGGGCCACGTCAAAGGGCTCCAAGGGCTACAGGGGCTGAATACCCCTGGCATATACAATTGCTACACAAACTATATTGTAACTGAATATTATTAAAAATTACTTTTTTCCAGTCCACAGTGCTATAATTTTCTGTAAAATTCAATGCAATATGGCAACCTAGAAGCATTCTGTACACATTTGATGTACAGAACTTCCCCAGAAATATAATTTCCTGCTTGTGAGATTGGCTCACTGATTTTCCCAGAGGTCTGCTCTAAGATACAAGTCAGATTTTAAGCATCCTCTGCAACAAAATTTTCATTTTTGGTGAGATACTCCTAAAGGATTAATCACTTCTAAAGGGATGCTGACTGATTAATAATGAAAAAGTCCCTTACATTCAAATTCACTTTGCACATCAACATAATCAAATAAACAGCTTTTCTTCAGAGCAGAAACAGGTAGGACTCTAATAAAGTTTGTTTAAATTCCTTCAGTGTACATAGATCACCCAGAGGGGGAATTTTTTTTTTCAATAACCGTTTTCCAGCCGCTCTATAGCAGATATACTGCTACAGGGCAGCAGGGTTGCGCAAAATCACGTATATATATACGTGATTTTGCATTTCCGGGTAGGGGTGGAATTCGCGACCTTGGCTGTCAATCACCGGTTACGGCCAGTGATTACTCGCTAGCACCCGGTGATCACCACGTATTACCGACGGAGGAAGAGAACTGTATGTAAACAATACACTCCCCTGTCAGCTCCTGCACACTGCTTTGTATGGCTCTGCATAGCATAGGAGAGCCATGCAAAGCAGTGTGCTTACAGTTGAAAGCACTAACACAAGCCCACAGTAAAATAGCACACAGCATACAGTTAACCCTTTGATCGCCCCACATGTTAACCCCTTCCTGCCCAGTGCCATTAGTAAAGTCTCAGTGCTTTTTATTAGCACTGATCACTGTATTGGTGTCACTGGGAATGTCAGTGACAAGTCAGTTCCCCCCAGTGTCAGAATGCCCTCCTCAGTCCCGCAGTTCAGCTATAAATCGCTGATCACTGCCATTACTAGTAAAAAATAAAAAAAATTTTAAATCCCAGTATATTCCGCCATTCATAAATGCTATAACTTACACGTAGACCAATTAATTTACATGTATTGGGATTTTTTTTAACAAAGACACATAGCAGAATATATTTTGGCCTAAATTTATAATGAAATTTGATTTTTTACATTTTATTACTGGACATGTTTAATAGCAAACAGTCAAAATATTGTTTTTTCTCAAAATTGTCAGGATTTTTACTTTATAGCACAAAAAATAAACACCGCACAGGCAATCATATACCATTGAAAGAAATCTGTATTTGTGAGGAAAAAAGGACGTAAATGTCGTTTGTGTGCAGCGTTGCATGACTGCGCAATTGTCAGTTAAAGTAATGCAGTGCCGTAATGCAAAAAATGGCTTGGTCAGGAAGGGGGTTAAATCCTGTGGAGGGCAAGTGGTTAACAAAAGTGGAGTTACTCTTTAAATCTGGAAGTGAAGCACAGCTCCCTAGTAAGTTACCGTAGTTCCAAGCCTAGCCCTTCCTCTTGTCCTGCCACCCTGACCTCAGAAGATTGATGATGTCAGCTCCCCTAGTATTTACAGCTGGCTGTACTAAACATTATTTCCTGCGCCCTGCATCGGGCAGACAGTGCACAGTTGGTAATAAGATGCTCAGGTCTGTAGACAACCAAGAGGAAGCTTTATTTTTGGACAAAAAGGACTAAAATAAGATCTGTTCAGCTGAAAACCAGATGGATGGCCACCCTATTCCACAGATGTAATGGTGATGAATGTAACGTAACAACTGTTAAAAGTGCAACTGAGAGATCAACTACCAATTTAGTGGGGAAACACCTGAAACAGAGACACTAATTCAGGGGCTAAATGGTTAGTACTTCCACCTGGCAGTACTAGGGTCGTTGGTTTGAATCCCAACCATGGCACCACCTGCCTGGAGTTTGCATGTTCTCCATGTGCCTGTGTGGGTTTCCTCCTGGTACTCTGGTTTCTTCCCACACTCCAAAGACATGTGAGTAGGTTAATTGGCTCCTGTCTAAATTGGCCCTAGTATGTGTATGTATGATTGTGAGTTAGGGACCTTAGATTGTACACCCCTTGAAGGTTAGGGACTGATATGAATATATATGTAAAGCTCTGCATAAATTGACGGAGCTATATAAGTACCTGAAAAAAATAAAATAATGATTCTATTGATATTACAAGAAGCATGCTGCCTTACATCAATTATACTGAGAAGTACATTTGCTTCCTAGATATTCATAGTTATTGTTGAAAGAACCGTAGCTCTAATTACACGGCCATAACTAGATGATAATTATGTTCTCACTCTTGGCCAATTGAATGATAAATCTGATCATGTATAAAAATCAATGTTAATGTTTACACTTTAGCAAACGCCAGAATGTCTGTCCCTGGAATAAAAATACTTTATTTTGAATATAATCTATAAACTGAAAAGTTGTCCTTTGTCACTTGAAGTGGCAACATTTTTCAGGTACATTGTCCATATTTGACTACTGAAAATTCAGTATATCATGTACAATACTTTTCTTTGGGCAGCAACTAAGAAGCAACATTGTAAAGCTATCAAGATGGAAATTGTAAAAATGATTTTTAACCCTTTAGTGATCAGAGGTTGTTGAAGCCTAGATGCCCAGGCCAAATTTAACAACATCGGTATGCATTTATTGACAATAAATCTATTCTTAATATTGCAACATTAAAAAAATGTTTATAGTTTTTAGGGACACATACGGTTTTTATTTTTTACACAGATTTAACCCATTCCCTGTTTATGCTTTTATTATAGGCTGACAAATGGACAAAAGAAATAAAAAAAAAAATTATATATATATATATATATATATATATATATATATATAATCTTCATCTTTTTTGAATACTGTAATGGTATCTGACATTTATAGTATTAATCTGTATAACCCATTTTAGGCTGATGTGGCATTTTCAGGCTGAAAGTAATTTGTTTATTTATTCTTTTAATTATTAGGTTGAACCTACTCTTGTATTTGATTGACTTTGGTTATTTTAAGCATAGCTGAATGCTTGGGTTTTTGCACTTAGTGGGGTTGATTTACTAAAACTGGAGAGTGCAAAATCTGGTGCAGCTATGCATGATCCTTAGCTTCTAAATATAGATAATATGGATATTTGTGATGGTATACTAGAATAGATAAGAAAATGGCATCATTTGAGATGGAAATAAAATTACATAATGCAGATTCAAATAAATATAAATATATATATATATATATATATTTCACTAAGAATAATATAATCATTTCATATCTATTCTACATTTACTCTTCTTTTCTCTCAGTGGGAGAATTAACATAAATTAAATAATGGGTGAAATTAGCATAACTCATACACCTGTATGAGTCAGTTCTAGTGTATTTATATTAACAACAGAACCTTTTAAAGGTACAAATAACTTGCTGTTCTTAATACTATGAGGATATGGTACAACTCTGATCAATTAGAAAAATCATTCTGTAAATATACCAAATTGCCACTAGGTGTCAGCACTGTATAAGAATAAAATGCTCTGAAAAATCATGAAAAAACGTATCTATATCAGAAAAAAATAAAAATACATCCTAATACAGGGAGCAAGTATACAAGCTGGCGTACCTGGGTTTATCAAAGACAGAATGATCAGATTTTGCAGCTTCCTCTATAAGAGGAATAACGATTCTCTCTGTTGAGTCAGTTAGAAGTGTGAATGTTGGCTCCACTATGAAGTCTATGAACCCTAAAAGATAAATCTAAATGAGTTTCAACATAATAACTATTAATAAATATTAATACAAAGTTTATTATACCACAGTAACATAAATACTAGAAATGAAAATTGGCTATATTGCATTTTAAATTTAAATTAATTTTACACAACTAATGTATTCAAGCAGCTATGAGGCAATCCAAAAAATAAACCATAAAAAAATAAACAAATAAAAAACAAACCAAATAATTTCCTTACGCTAACAAATAAAGAAAATATAAGTAAAGAAAGCTTCATCCACTACGCAATCTAGATACTACTGTACATGTAATATATATATATATATATATATATATATATATAACAACTACTTCCAGAAATGTAGATGCACTGTCTCTTATAATTTCCAAAGGTCAGTTGTGTATACAATTCAATGTAATGTAACTGTATCAAACCATTTTATTTTATAAGGAAATACTAATGGTGTAAACTCAATGCAGGCAATAACCTAAAAAAATAAAAAGAGAAAACAAAATATAAACACAAATAAAATTATGCCGTATGCTTGAAAAGCATCCAAATGTTAAAGCATGTGTAATATAACACCAGACTCTACTTTCAAAATAAAGATAAACATAGAAGAGTGTAAATGTATATATATATATATATATATATATATATATATATATATATACAGTGGGGCAAAAAAGTATTTAGTCAGCCACCAATTGTGCAAGTTCTCCCACTTAAAAAGATGAGAGAGGCCTGTAATTGGCATCATAGGTAGACCTCAACTATGAGAGACAAAATGAGAAAAAAAAATCCAGACAATCACATTGACTGATTTGGAAAGAATTTATTTGCAAATTATGGTGGAAAATAAGTATTTGGTCACCTACAAACAAGCAAGATTTCTGGCTCTCACAGACCTGTACCTTCTTCTTTAAGAGGCTCCTCTGTCCTGCACTCATTACCTGTATCAATGGCACCTGTTTGAACTTGTTATCAGTATAAAAGACACCTGTCCACAACCTCAAACAGTCACACTCCAAACTTCACTATAGTGAAGACCAAAGAGCTGTCGAAGGACACCAGAAACAAAATTGTAGACCTGCACCAGGCTGGGAAGACTGAATCTGCAATAGGCAAGCGGTGTGAACAAATCAACTGTGGGAGCAATAAGTAGAAAATGGAAGACATACAAGACCACTGATAATGTTCCTCGATCTGGGGCTCCACGCAAGATCTCACCCCGTGGGGTCAAAAATGATCACAAGAACGGTGAGCAAAAATCCCAGGACCACACGGAGGGACCTAGTGAATGACCTGCAGAGAGCTGGGACCAACGTAACAAAGGCTACCATCAGTAACACACTACGCCGCCAGGGACTCAGATCCTGCAGTGCCAGACGTGTCCCCCTGCTTAAGCCAATACATGTCCGGGCCCGTCTGAAGTTTGCTAGAGAGCATTTGGATGATCTAGAAGAGGACTGGGAGAATGTCATATGGTCAAGATGAAATCAAAATAGAACTGTTTGGTAGAAACACAACTCGTCGTGTTTGGAGGAGAGAGAATGCTGAGTTGCATCCAAAGAACACCATACCTACTGTGAAGCATGGGGGTGGCAACATCATGCTTTGGGGCTGTTTCTCCGCAAAGGGACCAGGACGACTGATCCATGTACAGGACAGAATGAATGGGGCCATGTATCGTGAGATTTTTTTTTTTTTTGGAGTGCAAACCTCCTTCCATCAGCAAGGGCATTGAAGATGAAACGTGGCTGGGTCTTCCAACATGACAATGATCCCAAAAACATACCGCCCGGGCAGTGAAGGAGTGGCTTTGTAAGAAGCATTTCAAGGTCCTGGAGTGGCCTAGCCAGTCTCCAGATCTCAACCCCATAGAAAACCTTTGGAGGGAGTTGAAAGTCCGTGTTGCCCAGCGACAGCCCCAAAACATCACTGCTCTAGAGGAGATCTGCATGGAGGAATGGGCCAACATACCAGCAACAGTGTGTGCCAACCTTGTGAAGACTTACAGGAAACGTCTGACCTCTGTCATTGCCAACAAAGGATATATAACAAAGTATTGAGATGAACTTTTGATATTGACCAAATACTTATTTTCCACCATAATTTGCAAATAAAAATTCTTTCCAAATCAGCCAATGTGATTGTCTGGATTTGTTTTCTCATTTTGTCTCTCATAGTTGAGGTCTACCTATGATGCCAATTACAGGCCTCTCTCATCTTTTTAAGTGGGAGAACTTGCACAATTGGTGGCTGACTAAATACTTTTTTGCCCCACTGTATATACTAGATTGTAAGCTCCGAGGAGCAGGGCCCTCCTATCCCCCTTTTATTGAACTGTATTGTTGCTGTATTGTCTCCCGTTATATTGTAAAGCGCTTGAGCAAACTGTTTGGCACTATATAAATCCTGTATAATAATATATATATGCACAGTGCATACAATCCACCACCCACTCCGACGGTAATATCCTTGATCTTGTCTTCTCCAAACCGATGCGCTCCCCACAACCTCACTAACACCCCCTTCCCTCTCTCTGACCACAACCTGATCACCTTCTCTATCTCCTCGTCCTCCAACGCCTACCCCTCCAAATGTCACACTAGTACCAGCCGTAACCTCCGCAACTTAACCCTGCCTCCCTCCACTCTGCAGCTGATCAACTCCCACGACCGCATCCTCCCCTGTCCTGCCCCGACTTGGCTTTGACCGCCTACAACAATGCGCTCTCAACAGCCCTTGACTCACTAGCGCCTTTAACCACACGCAACACCAGACCCCGACCGCTCCAGCCCTGGCAGACTGATCACACCAAAACCCTCAAACGACAAAGTCGTGCCCTAGAGCGACTATGGCGCAAAACCAAATCCAAACAAGCCTTCACCCGCTACAAATCTGCCTTCCGCACCTACACCTCCTCCCTCCATGCTGCCAAACAGGCCTACTTCTTGACCCTCATCAAGGCCCTCTCCTCCAATCCTCGCCGACTCTTCTCTGCCTTCAACTCTCTACTCTCTCCACCCCCACCTCCACCCAGCACCTCACTCACTGCCCTTGAGATTGCCAATCACTTCAAAAACAAAATTGACACAATTCGCAAGGACATTGCCGCAACTCACACGCCCTCTCAACCTGTCCCCTCTCACACAGCTACCCCCTTATCCCCCCCTCCCCCTCGACATAACCCGCAGGGACTTCGTCGCTGCTCAAACTCTCTCCAACCCCCTTCACCCTCACTCAGCTACCCCCTCATCACCCCTCTCCCACGGCCCCACCACTGCTCTGACCTCCTCTTCCACCCCACCCTACATTCCTCATACATTCCTCATACTGAAGCTCCCCCAACACTCCACACCTTTGACCTTACTACCATCGAGGAAGTCTCCAAGACCCTCTCTGATGCCCGCCTCACCACCTGCCCCCTCGACCCTATCCCCTCACAACTCCTACGACCTTCCTCCTCCTCCATCCTACGCTCCCTCACCCACATCTTCAATCTCTCCCTCTCCTCAGGCACTTTCCCCTCCCCTCTGAAACATGCACACATCACCCCCATACTTAAAAAGCCCTCCCTGGACCCCAATGACCCGAACAACCTCAGACCCATCTCCCTGCTCCCATTTACATCTAAACTCCTCGAGCGCCTAGTCTACACCCGCCTATGCTCTCACCTCAACGACAACAACCTCCTCGATCCCCTACAGTCCTGCTTCCGTCCCCTACACTCCACCGAAACTGCCTTACTCAAACTCTCCAACGACCTGCTAACCGCCAAAGCTAATGGACACTATTCAGTGCTCCTACTCCTTGACCTCTCTGCGGCCTTCGACACAGTCGACCACACCCCCTCCTCCTCAAAAAACTACACTCCCTCAGCCCCAAAACATCACTGCTCTAGAGGAGATCTGCATGGAGGAACGGGCCAACATACCAGCAACAGTGTGTGCCAACCTTGTGAAGACTTACAGGAATGTTTGACCTCTGTCATTGCCAACAAAGGATATATAACAAAGTATTGAGATTAACTTTTGATATTGACCAAATACTTATTTTTCACCATAATTTGCAAATACATTCTTTCCAAATCAGCCATTTTGATTGTCTGGATTTTTTTTCTCATTTTGTCCTCTCATAGTTGAGGTCTACCTATGATGCCAATTACAGGCTCTCTCATCTTTTTAAGTGGGAGAACTTGCACAATTGGTGGCTGACTAAATACTTTTTTGCCCCACTGTATATATATATACAGTTGCAAGAAAAAGTATGTGAACCCCTTGGGATTATGTGGAGTTTTGCATGAATTGGGCATAAAATGTCTCATCTGAACGTCATCTAAGTCACAACAATAGAAGAACACAGTCTGCTGAACATAATACTACACAAACATTAGATGTTGCATGGTTTAATTGCACATAACATGTAAACATTCACAGTGCATGGAGGAAAAAGTATGTGAACCTTTGGACTTAATAACTGGTTGACCCTCCTGTGGCAGCAATAACCTCAAGCAAACGTTTCCTGTAGTTGCAGATCAGACCTGCACAACGATCTGGAGTAATTTTGGACCACTCCACTTCACAAAACTGTTTCAGTGTAGCAATATTCTTGGGATGTCTGGTGTGAATCACTCTCTTAAGGTCATGCCACAGCATTTCAATCAGCTTGAAGTCAGGACTCTGACTGGGCCACTCCAGAAGATGTATGTGCTGTTGCAGCCATTGTTTTTGTTGAATTACAGACAGATGGTCGTACGTTTTCCTGCAAAATGTCTTGATAAACTCTGGAATTAATTTTCCCATCAATGACAACAATCCGCCCAGGCCCTGAGGCAGCAAAGCAGCCCCAAACCATGATGCTCCCTCCACTATGTTTTACAGTGGGGATGAGGTTTTGATGTTGGTGTGCTGTGCCTTTTTTTCTCCACACATAGTGTTGTGTGTTCTTCTCCAAACAACTCAATCTTGGTTTCATCTGTCCACAGTATATTTTTGCCAGTAGTGCTGTGGAACATCCAGGTGCTCTTTTGCAAACTTCAAACGTGCTGCAATATTCTTTTTGGACAGCAATGGCTTCCTCTGTGGTGTCCTCCCATGTACTCCATTCTTGTTTAATGTTTTCCTTATTGTAGATGTGTCAACAAAAATGTTAGCATGTGCCAGAGATTTCTGTAGGTCTTTAGCTGACACTCTGGGATTCTTCTTTACTTCATGCAGCATTCTGCACTGTGCTCTTGCAGTAATTTTTACAGGACGACCACGCCTAGGGAGAGTAGCAACAGTGCTTAAACTTTCTCCATTTGTACACAGTCTGTCTTACCATGGACACATGAACATCAAGGCTTTTGGAGATACTTTTGTAACCCTTTCCAGCTTCATGCAAGTCAACAATTCTTGATCGTAGGTCTTCTGAGAGCTCTTTTCTGCGAGGCATGGTTCACATCAGACAGTGCTTCTTGAAACCAGTAAACCAAAAACAGGTGTGTGTTTTTTAAGGGCAGGACAGCTGTCAGCAACACATCCAATATCATCACACTGATTGGAGGCAAGGTTGGCTCACTCCTGGCTCCAATTAGCTCTGGGAGAAGTCATTAAGCTAGGGCCTCACATACTTTTTCCTCCCTGCACTGTGAATGTTTACATGTTATTGTGCAATTAAACCATGGCAACATCTAATGTTTGTGTAGTATTATGATCAGCAGACTGTGTTCTTCTATTGTTGTGACTTAGATGACGTTCAGAGCACATTGTATGCCCAATTCATGCAAAACTCCACGTAATCCCAAGGGGTTCACATACTTTTTCTTGCAACTGTATATATTTATATATATATATATATATATATATATATACAGATGGACACGTGTATATGGACAATGATACACTCAAAAGCACTCAAACTTTCAAACTTTAATTTAATTTACTTTAACATTAATTTATATAGTTTTTATGCCTCATAATTACTTTTTTAGGTGATCTTACTATGAGTTGGGTTGCTTTTTTGTAGATATTATTTGAGGGTTTGTTTGTAGATATTATTTGATTGATTAGCCTACAGTTTCCCCTTCCTGGCTGCATTTAACAGAGCAATAGACATCCCGTGGTATGCCTCTATCCTCTGAAGAGGCTGTTTTTGAGGGAGTGGTCTCTCAATAATATTGGTCAATAATTTTTAATACTTTTGTAACCTGTTATAAAGGCCATATCAAATTTCCATTTTTCCCTTTCCTGTTTAGTTAGTAATTTCTCTCTATCCATTTTTCTTACCAGGTCTCAAGTTTTTTTTCTAATTCCCCCTTTCTATACCCCTTTTTCCTAAACCTTTGTATTAACATTGAATTGGGTCATATAATCCTCATCTCTCTGACCATTGCGTTTAATCCTCAGGAACTGCCCCTTCAGGATGGCTCTCACCCACTCCGGATCGTGGCAGATTCTAGTGCATTTATATCCATTTCTGTCAGTTTCTTTGAAGTGAGTTTGTGTAAAAAATTATTTTCCTTCTTTCCAAATTTCAATGTCTAACAAATGCACCATTTCCCCATTGATATTGCTAGTAAATTTAATATCATATTGGTTGGTATTTAACCCTTGCAGGAACAATTCTTGATCCTCCCTTTTCCCCTCCCAAATGATAAAAATGTTGTCAATAAATCTAATATAAAATGTTAATTGGGTCCACATTTTGGAAAAAACCTCCTCTACTACCTCCCATTTATTCAGGAAAATGTTTGTCACACTCGGCGCATACCATTGCTGCCATTTAATTTGGTTATAGAATTCACCTTCATACCAAAAGCCATTGCCATACCTTCAAGGATATATTTTCATTGGGGGTTTTTTGATTAGATTTTTTTAAGGCCCATTTAGTAGCCTTCTGCCCATCCTTCTGTTTGGTACTGGTATATAGGGACGCCATGTCCACTGGTGCTAAAGAGTATTTTTATTCACTGGAATTTTTTTTAAGTACATTTAAAAGGTCTCTGCTGTCTTTGAGGAACACTTTACCTTTATGTGCTAAATTCTGTAAATAAATATCTATATATTCACCCAATCTTGAGTATAGTGACCCTATCCCACTAATGATGGGTCTCACTGGTGGTTTACTTTTTTTTGTATGGATCTTAGGTACCTGGTAGATGATGGGAATTTTGGTTTGCTTTAGGTTTTAGATTGTTGCCCTCTTTTTGACCAAAATTTATTTATTTTTTTTTTGGTTGGATTGCCCAGTAATCTTTTATAGGTTTCATTATCACCTAATATTCTGGCCATTTCTTCCTCACAATCCTCTTTTTTTCAAGAAGACCAACCCCCTCCCCTTCTTTTGTCTGCTAACCTTATCACCACTCCTTTTTCTGCCTCTGAGGCTTTAATCCCTTCCAAAATCCTCTTGTTTCCCTTTTTTTTAAACATTGGTAAATTTTTTTTACTTCTTCTCGGTCCATGTTTTTAAATACCTTTATGTATTGGACGACATGGACTTGGGATTAAAGGTGGATCTATTATTTAAACCACTATGGATATAAGATGTTTGTGTATTTACATTCTCATTTTGATTTTTCTCCAAAAAAAAAACAATTCTTAATATTTAGATTTCTGGAACTTGTCTAGGTCTATGAATACCTCAAACTTGGCAAAAAAATTTCACTGGGGCAAATTTTAATCCCTCATTTAAAACTTGTAATTCTTTATCTGTAAATTGAACTTCTGTTAGGATAAAAATCCCTGACGTTACAGCTCTCTTTTCCTTTTTGCCCCCCCCACACACACACACACACCCTCTTCTTCTCTTTCTTGTTCTACTGGTTTCTGTGTGTAGTGTGAGATTCTGTAAAGTTATTTCCAGCCCATCCATACACTTCTTTATGTTTATTTCTACTTTGAGGGTAGAGTACTGGGTTATTTTATATACACTTTAAAGTTTGAGTGCTTTGAGCTTGTCATTGTCCATATACAGATTTGTCCATCTGTACGTATACAGTCTTCTATGTTTATCTTTATTTTGAAAGTAGAGTATGGTATTACATATGTTTTAATGTTTGAATGAAAATAAATAACCTATATGAAGCTGCTATCACCATTTCACATTTTCATATCGATATGCTCAAATTACAATATATACAAATGTTGCAGTGCTCTTAATATTCCATACAGTAAACAACATTCTTCTTATATAACATCATGAATATTCACATTCAAATAGGTACAAAATCAAACAAACTTCTCATCAACTTGTATCTTGCTTATAATTCACCAGACATATTCTTTCAATTTTTGTGACCACCACCAGTTGTGCTGTCACCAGGACTCCATCACGTTACATACTATGTAGGATCAAACAAGGCTTGTGTCCCACTCTGTGGACATATATAAGCTCCGTGGTCCCACTGATGGCTCTCTCATGCAGCAGTGTATCCTTCTATACAATGGTTTAATATGACAGTTCCCTCCAAGTAATATAGGTAATTCAGCACCCTGTGATAAAAACACGTAGGGACGGGGCTGGATGACATCCACAATGTTTAGAACCGGAGATTGCGCTCTTTTCTCTGTTTCCTATTGGATGGACAGTGCAGGGGGCCATCAAGCAAATCTGCTGCTTTTATCTGAATGTAAAGGTTTACTTTAACTGACCCCAGCAAAGTTAAAGCATACACCTAAACACCAAAACCAAAAATGTAAGATATTGCAGCGTAGCAATGTTGAGGCTGCATTGTTTTTCTTTTTTAGGCTTACTTGCTTCAGTTTAACCTGTTGATCCTGCCATTAAGTCTGTTAGTTTTCAACCTTTTTTTATAGACCAAGCTATCCAGCAAAAGTGGCAGTTAGAGCTTGAGTAAAGCATTCAACAATGAATCTGTACTATTTAAAAAGTGTCAGATGAAGTTAGATTTCAGTTTGTTAGTCACTTATGTAAATATCCATCTAAATCTACTAGTCCATCTAACACCATCCTCTCCATGTGTTGGCAATGCTGCTGTCCAAGTGTGGCTACTTCACTCCCCCATAGATACAGTAGAGGAGTGAGTGTATCTACCCTATGATAAGGGAGTGTGTTAGAGGCAGGAACACCAGGAAAACGAATGCAAGCAGCACATCTAAGGACTGGTAATCAAATATTCCATGTTTGTTTTTGGGTTTAGATTTAAATTTATTTTCAGTAATCACACTTTTCACACCATCAAGTCTCCAGATAGAATTTTTAAACTATGCCATCAGTAGGTGTTTCTCCACATCTGTGTAAAGAAGGAATAAGCGCATTACCTATTTGTGACTGTGCTACCAGTGTGGATTTTCTGTCACAGAGTGGTGAGAATTGAAGCCCTAATTCAGCCTCTTTGTCGCCCTGTAATGAAAAATGGCTGCTGTAAATATTTTGGATTAGGTATAGGAACTTGTGCAGCTTGCATCATACTTGTTGGACAACAGAGTGTAGGCTGAGTAGACCCAGTAATAAGCTGTTTGCCCAAAACACAGCCCTTAACACAGCATAGAGAGCAGTGGAGATAGAAACAAATGAGTAGACTTGTAGGTTTGTTACTATAAAGATATGGCTCACTGGGAATGGAATTATGCTTGGAATCAGGTAACTCCATGTCTGTTGTTCTAGGAATGGGGGGGAAGTGATACCACAGTGAAATTAAGGAAAAATTAGGGTAAGATGGGTTTATGTTGTGCATGGAGGACAGGATTTGGCAGTATAAGTCTCTATGCCTTTGTACATTTTGACTTACACTCACTGGCTACTCACGCTTTAGGTCGCTGATCACCCCTATTACTAGTATAGTGTTTGTATGGATCAATATATTGATCACTAACAGAACGATACTAGTGCCTCCTTACTATAGTGTTCCCAAAAATGCAGTGTTAGCAGGATCAGCCCCATTCGCTGTCAGCACTAGTGTTTAGCCCCTCCACTGTTTTTCATGGAAGATTTGTATCAATTGATTATGGGCCAAAGCAATTTATACGCACAACAATACATCACCACCCACCCAAATTCAGCTCTTGCCAGACAATTGGCATAAAGATGTATCACGGTTTCTGAATTTAAAACTTTTTTTGGCCTAACACTCAACATGGGCATTACAAAAAAGAATGAATTGCAATCATATTGGTCCACAGACCTGATTTATGATATACCCATGTTCTCTGCTGTTACATATATGCCCAACAAGGACCAGCAATGTACTGGTACGTCGCTGGAGTTTGAGTGGTTATACCGGGATGATGCCTGTAGCTAAATATTGTAAAGCGCTGAGCAAATTGTTGGCGCTATATAAATCCTGTATAATAAAATCATCTTTTTCAGCTGGTGGCCAGCTTTCATGTAAAAACAAACCTAGTGGTTAATTAGCCACTGGATTGCTTTTACAAGCAGCAGAAAGGGACTCCCCCCCCCTCCTGCCACCTTCCTTGTTTTTTTGGGATCTCCTGTCTCACAGGAGAATCCAAGAATGCAGCCAGAAGTTCCACTGGCTGACCATACAGCTGATCGGAGACCAGAATTCCTCCAGTCATCTCTATGGACTAAGAGAATGGAAGCTACGAGTATTTAATAATTTCTGTTTCACCGGATATTACAGAATACCTGTCACTGCCTATTGCTATCACAGGAGATATTTACATTCCCTGTGGCAAATGAACCTGTGTCAATATGTAAACAGAGATTACACCATGCATGTGAGATATCACCGCAAACATCAGATCAAGGGAAATAATTCTAGCACTAGACCTCCTGTGTAAATCTAAAGTGGTGACCTGTAAAGGCTTTTAAAGCATTGCCCATGGATATTAAAAATTTACTTAGTTTGTTGTCGTTGCATGGATGTGCGCAATTTTAAATGTCATGTTTGGTATCCATTTACTTGGCGTAACATCATCTTTGATATTTTATCAAACAATTGGGCAACATACTGCGTTTTTTGTGCATTAACATTCTAAAAAGTATATTTTTTCCCAAAAAATTGTGTTTTTGAAAAATCACTGCGCAAAATACTGTGTGACATAAAAAATGTCAATACCCACAGTTTTATTCTCTAGGGCCTCCGCTTTAAAAAAAATATAATGTTTGGGGGTTAAAAGTAATTTTCTAATAAAAAAAAAATCTCAGAAAAGGCTTGGTCTTCTTCATGTGGTTTATGTGTAGCATAAGCTTCTAATATTGGCCCTGAAATGCCAGGATAGTAGAAGACCCCCCCCAAATGACCCCTTTTTGGAAAGTAGACACTCCAAGGTATTTGCTAAGGGGTATGGTGAGCATTTTGCAGATCTCATTTGTTGCCACATGTTTTTGGAAAATGGAGAATGAAAACAGAAATTTATTTTTTCTTTTTAAAAACCCTGACAAAAATTATATCTGCAAATTACTCACCATGCCTCTTACCAAATTCCTTTAGTTGTCTACTTTCCCACAAGGGGTCATCTGGGGGGGGGGGGGTGCTTGTACTATTCTGGCATTTTAGGGCCTCCGAAACTGTGATAGGTAGTAAGGAAGTGACATGAGGAAATATGCCCTTTGAAAGCCTGGAGGTGCTCATTGGATTTTCAGGGCCTGTATGTAGCAAGGCTCACATGGCTCTCACATGTGGCATCCCCATACTCGGGAGAAGTAGCAGAATGTGTTTTGGGGTGTTAATCCACATTTACCCATGGCATGCGTGAGCAATATAATATTACAGTAGAGAGACAACTTTGTGTAAAAAATGTTTTTTTTTTTATCATTTGCTAAACATCTGTGGAAAAAAATAAAATATTCCATGGACTCAACATGCTTCTTAGCAAATTCCTTGGGATGTCTACTTTCCAAAAAGGGGGTAATTTGGGGGGGTGGTTGTACTGCCCTGGCATTTTAGCACTTCAAGAAATGTGATAGGCAGTCAGAAAGTAAAGGCTGCGTAAATTCCAATATGTACAGTATACCATAGTTTGTAGACACTATAGCTTTCACACAAACAAATTGATATACTACCAAAAGAAAGCTCTATTTGTATGAAAAAAGGACATACATTTTGTTTGGGTACAGTGTTGCATGACCACGCAATTACCAGTTGAACTAGCGCAGTGCCAAATAGAAAAAAATGGTCTGGTCATTAAAGGGGGTAAATCCTTCGGGCGGCAAGTGGTTAGTGTTGATGAGTTTAAAGGAAAACTCCACTTTGTTAGAAGAGACTCCTGGACAGCCCTACTTTACATTAAAATTGATACCCTCTTCAATCATCAGCAAGCATAAACAAATGTCATGCTGTTGAAAGCCAAACAAACTCTAGCTACAACCACAAAGAAGCAATTCCTCGCCTTTTCAAAAGTTGACACATCATGTACCGCCTCCTGATTAAATAAAAACTTCCCAGTATCTTTAAAGACTTCCATGCCAAATTTCTTCGAATTTGGTATCTGTGGTGGGAGCAGGAATTGACTTAGATATTTCCCACCTCATATGTTTAAAAACTTAACATTATTCCTCAAAATTCATCTCAGGACTATTGTCCACCGATCCCCACCTTTTCATCCTGTCCCCCTCTTTCATCCTAACTGCACCCTCATTCTCACCCATTCCTATCCCAACCCTGTCTCTTCTCCTTTTCTACCCTTTGTTCTACACTCAATTTGAAATATTTACCATTTTAACCCAAACACAGTAGTGCATACTTGATCACTCAAACATACGCTTTGGAGTTGTGCCACATCAAATAGAGACATTCCTTGAGATATTAATGGAATGCCCATCCATAATTCATCACTCTCCTTCTCTATTACCTATTTGAACCTAAGTCTTTGTAGCATCTATACCGTACTAGGTACAACTATCATTGTAACTAAACAAAACATTTTTTAAATAAAAACTTGGGAAAAGAACAAATTACCTTACCATTTTAATCTGCCACCACTTTAATTTTTGAAAACTGTCAAAAAATGTGATGCAAAAAGGGCAACCTGATGTCATTGTGTACAGTGTTGGTGTACAGAATGCCCCCCAGAAATGTAATATCCTGCTTTTGTAATTGACTGCACTTAGATACAGATAAGTTTTTTGGTGAGCTGCTCACTACGGCGTGTTCTACTAAACACCTGCAGGAACTTCATCTTCCCTCATTAGATCAAAGAGTTTTATTAAGGTGGTTATAATGAACACAGACCCTATCATTTAGGAACCAGTCTGACAAGGACTTAGTGAAAAAGTAGCTATTTCTTCAGAACAGAAACAGGTAGGAATTATCTACAAAGTTTGTAGAATTCTTAAAATGTACATAGGTAGATCATCCAGAAGGGATTGCTTTTCCTCAACAAAAGTGGATTTACACTTTACATTTGTAATGTCCATCACAGATGTGTAAAGATTGCACCAGCAGGAAGAATAAGGCAGTATGATGAGTGGGTAGAGTGTGAAAATAGGCCATGACTTTATGGCAAGTACACCAATTTTAATTACTTGATCCCTTTAATATATGGCTATTTTGTAGGCCCACCAATATCTTAGCCATCTGTGTTCCTCTCCATGTCTTTGTGGATATAGGGTCTTTATGTCCCTGCTGGAAGTGGACAATCTATAGAATTACCATGAGTATTGGCTAACTCAAGCCATATTGGTTTTATCCATGTAATTTTGGGATACCTTTGTCATTCGGTGGTATAGTTTCATATACTTCCTATTATAGGATTCCTGTATACAACAACTGGCCTTTGAGTTCTCTTTTGGCCCAATTTAAGCTCTGGTCCCCTATGCCCACCCTCCAGACTTCCTTGCCACTTACCCGTCATCTTCACGTAACCTCAGCTTAATTTAATACACATATGTATCTTGTTTATCTTATGTATATTTATGTGTTTGTTTGTACACTTATTTTGTATTATCTTTATATATGCAGTAGTACTATTCTCCCTCATATTCAAGCTGCGGTCCTGAAGAAGCCAAATGCACAGGTGAAACGCGTTGATCGTATTTTGATTGTATGCATATTGTAATTATGTGCTCAGTGGTATTTTTATATACATGAGGGGGGCATTGTGCTTATAATTACGATCTCCTTTGCGCTTGATCCCCCTTTTGAGGGGCATGTTTGTTACTATAGGTCCTATTATGAATACATGACTCTTCTATGTCAATAAATGATTATATGTATTTTACTGTGTGGTCTCTTACTGTGCCCAAAGAATAGAATGCCTTTACAGTACTTAGCAGTTCGGTTTCTTTTTCTTCTGTGAAAATAGGCCAGCAGATTCCACTGCCAGAGACCTAACAAAGATCCTAATAGCCCATCAGATTTTACCAGTAACTTAGGCCTCATACACACAATGAAAATATCGGACAAATGATCATTTGGTTGTTTTCTGCATGCTAGTCTCATATCGAAAATGAATAGGTTGCTAAAGTTAGGAAAATTCTCTTTAGACAGAATACAACTTTGGAAGTTTTGCAAAGTATTGTATTGTATTGTAATGTATTATTTAGTTTACGAACATGCGCAATCTTGGTCACCGAGTTTTTTCCATACAAATACTATATTAATTACACATATTTTGTTCCGTTATCTTACGAGAACATGTTTCGTGCTTGTCTCCAGATTTTTTCACATGAACTTTAGTGATCGCCTTTGAAAACTGTATACTAACAAACAGATTATTGGTCGATTACTCCGAAAGCTTTTTTATCTGATTTTCTCATTGTGCGCACTAGGCATAAGACATTCTCTTTTAGTGCACCAGCTTATTGATTAATAAATCTAAACTGTTGAGCTCAGATAGTTAATTTTGTAAAAGATTCTATACTCTTTTTTATATAGATCATTTTCATTTATATATGTAAATTACACTGGCAGGAATTACTTCATGTGGCTTCTTTTAGATAAGTTGATAATAAGACTGAAAACCAGGGCTTTTCTTCAGTGGGCACGTAGTTCCAGCACCACCAGCACTGAATGTATGTAATAGCAAGAGGTGCTGGGGTGTGCAGGAGGGTCTATCGATGCTTGCTGTTGGGGGATCTATTGTTGCTGGGGGTCTCTTGCTGAAGGCTGGGTATATTGTTACTGAAGGGTAATTTGTTGCTTGAAAGGATCTACTGTTGAGGGAGGGGTCTGTTACTGCTGGCTGTTGGGAGATCCATTGTTCCTGGTGTGGGTCTATTGTTGCTGGGGGGTATTTTGTTCTTGGTTGTGCTTTTGTTGCTGGCAGCAGGGGATCTATTTTACTGCTTTTTATGTTATCTTTAGCACATTCTATACAAATTACTTAACACCATAAAATTATAATTGGTTCTGTATTGGGGTAAAAAGGGTGGCACTGGTAGGTGTTGGAACCAAAGGATGGTACTAGTAGGTGGGTAGGGGGCGGAGACAAGAGGTGACTCGGAAGGGGGGAGTTCCTGCACCTATTCCCTGAGAAAAAAGTCCTGCTGAAAACAATAAACTGCCTACGTCTCTAAAGATGACAAACCACATTGCTCCTGGTAAATGTAGGCTCTCCCCTCTTTGCCCAGGCTGTGTACATACTGTAACCTAATGGAGCTCAAGGCATCACCTTTTATTCAAGGCAAGAAAGAGGTTGTCTTTTTCTAAAACGAGAATGTAATTAGGTTAAGCTGATATCTGCCCTTTTTATTCATGTAAAATATGATTAGAAATTGTAAGTCCTCTTTTCAAAGTACACGATTAATTTTAGCAATCATTTTACAATTAGCCAATGTAATAAAAACTCCCATTTTACATTTGGATTCCTCTGTAGAGAATGGAATATTGAACTAGCACCTGTCGGAAGAATTCCTCCATCAGTAGGTCTGTCCACCTCTGATGCATATCCCACATTTTTGATGGATGACTGATGTCTGCAGCGTGAAGAATCAAGGACATTGCTTTCGATTTGTCTATTCTGTCAGATAAAGAGCACAGTTCAATTATTTTCTGAAATGGAACTCTGACAATGAAAGGAGAAATTTCTGGACGGCTCACCAAGAGTAATCTTATTCTGCTTTATCTGCTAATTGCAAAATAATACAATGCACTGTTATAAATACTGTGATAATGCTTCATATCCAACTATGAGAGTTTCATTTCATTTTTTATAGACTCTTACCTCAACAATTTTCCTGGCTTTATTATTTCCAACACAATGCATATACAGCATTCATATTTTTATATTAATATCCTCAAATACAGACAAAGACATATTCCAAGCATGATATATTTTTACATAGTTATATTTTTTCCAGCTTGGAGCAATGTATATACCATACCTGGGCAATCCCCCAGGAAGCTGGAAATCAATAATAACACCGCTACTCTAGTGGTCTCCACTTGTTTCTGGGCCCTATGGGCGCCAATTGGAAAATGCTTTGCATCTTCTAAATGAATGCAGAGCATTGTCTGATTGGATGAGGCGGAGAGGCAGGGCAGTTCATGCATTAATTTGTATGTTCTTTGCATTGCAGTTTTAAGCGCCCTACATTGTATTTCTTTGCATTGACATGCATTTTAATGTTCATCCATTGATCAGCATTTTGCAGTCTAATTTGCTTTTACATAACTCCAAGTTCTCTGGAAGGTGCAAAGTAAAAAAAAACTTCCGTACTTCAGATATGTTGTGTTGCTTTCATGTAGGTGAGGGTCTTCATAGGGCATATGTAAGCACTTATTTAGTTTAACTATTTACAGTGTTTTATCTTCGATTTTATATCACTTTTCAGAGGTGTGAAGATTTTCATAGTGCTCACAAAGTTTTAAGAGTTCACCTAGCACAGTATCCATTTGAATTAGCCTTTTAAGAGACGATATCCTCTTATATACTTTGTGACTTCAGTTGATTGGGGATTTGCACGGTTTGATCTTATATACATTATGTAGGTTAACCCCTTCCCGCCGGCACCCTTTAAGAGTGTCAGAAGCCGGGAGGCGGGGCGGGATTTTGGGATCATGTGGCCTGCCGTGACGCGTCGTCACGGCGGTCATATGATTGGAAAAGGTCCCGATCGAAAGAGCAGACAGGGACCTTTCCGTGAGTAGTGGACATGTGTGCTGGGAGCGCGCAGGGTGCGCACTCTCAGCACATATGTTTTTTTCTTACCTGAACGCAAATGTGCGGCCGCTCGGAGTCTAGGCCCAGACGCTGGGAGGCCGCACATTTGTGTGCTGCCGGCGTGAAGGGGTTAATGTGCATTGCAGTAGGCCTCTTTCAGACAGGCTGCAGTGCTTACTGCTCTCTGAAAAGCGACTCATGGTGGATGGCTATTCAGAGGGTAGTAGAGCAGCAACTAACAGGTGTTCAGGAGGTGCTACTGCTGCCTCCTGATGCCAGTTTCTTTTCCTTTTTTTAATTGCTGAATGCTAATTTTACATTGTGGGACTCTGCTGAAACTGTGAGCAAAGTGTTTGATTCTCAGTTGCAGTGTGGCCCCATTGATCTGAACGGGTGAGTTTAAGAGATGGTGCCACCCATCAAACTCTGCAGCCCAAGTTTAAAAGAAGCAAGACATCACAGCCATGGTATGTATGCAGCCTTGCCAAGCTTTAATTTTAATTCAGCCTCCTGTGTGAAAGAACCTTTAAGATGCATACGTGCGGCACTACACTACACATGTATACAACATTGTGGTGTGACGAGGCACATACTGTATGTGTCCAAACTTATTAGCTGAAAATAATTTCAACTCACTAAGAGCGGTGAGAGTACTTCAAGATAAGTAGAAACACACAATATTTACATTTTATCAAAATCCAAAATCATTTTTCAGGATAAGCACATTTTCTGCAAGTACAGAAAATGTTTGTTGATCTTGACAGTAAGCCAGTATCCTTGTAACTTCCTTTGCATTGAACTGAAACCTCAATGTTATCAGCTTTCCGAGCTATTTTCTTGGAACTACACAACCCCTCCTGCTGCTTATGTGATTGAGATTAGTAGAGGGGTAGGTGTTTGTAATCCAAATCAGAAAAGTGGCCCAGGGTGAGCTGTTCCTCCAGAGATACAGTGTGTTACTGGCAGGATCACCATGTGAAAAAAGGGAAAACTAATGCAGCCACCACATCTAAGGACTTTTAAAATGCAATGTATTGCATTTTTGTTTTGAGGTTTAAATACACGAAATAAAAATAAGAATGTTCCTCTAAGAAAAGGTGACCTTACCACTAGAGCCCCCTTGGGTAAGTATACTGGCTAACACAGCAAACCAAACTTCACCTTCCTGCCTGGCCATTGTACATATACGTCCAAGTTGTAAAAACACCATTCGAATGAACACTCAAACTGGGTGGACGTACCACTGCATCCTCCCAGTTTGGGTGTTCATGCCCGGCCTTGCGCAAACGTAGTGGTGCAATCTATGATCACTGTAATTGGCCCTGTACCACGTGATTGCTTTTTTTTACATACCGTCATGACAACAAGTGCAGTGCCACTATGTACTGCTGTGGAGATGATTGTGTACAATGGCTGGATGCTCAGATATCAATGTATGTCAGTGCCACTAGCCATTGTCTCTGATCACCACCACAGCAGTGCAATGTTACCACACCAGTGCTGCCAGTCAGTATCCCTAATCATGACTGCACCACTCAGTGTCCCTAATCACTGCAACATCAGTCAGTGACCCTAATCTCCATCAGCCAGTCACAAATCATGGCCGCACCAGTCACAGTATCCCTGATCACCACCACACCAGTCACAGTGTTCCTGATCACCACCACACCAGTCATTGTGTCCCTGATCACCACCACACCAGTCATTGTGTCCCTGATCACCACCCACCAGTCATATTGTCCATGATCACCACCACACCAGTCATATTGTCCATGATCACCACCACACCAGTCATTGTGTCCCTGATCACCACCACACCAGTCATATTGTCCATGATCACCACCACACCAGTCATTGTGTCCCTGATCACCACCACACCAGTCATTGTGTCCCTGATCACCACCACACCAGTCATATTGTCATTGATCACCACCACACCAGTCATAGTGTTCCTGATCACCCCCACACCAGTCATTGTGTCCCTGATCACCACCACACCAGTCATATTGTCCATGATCACCACCACACCAGTCACAGTGTTCCTGATCACCCCCACACCAGTCATTGTGTCCCTGATCACCACCACAAGAGTCATATTGTCCATGATCACCACCACACCAGTCACAGTGTTCCTGATCACAACCACACCAGTCACAGTGTCCCTGATCACTGCCACAGCAATCACAGTGTCTTTGATCACAACCACACCAGTCCTAGTGTCCCTGATCACTGCCACACCAGTCACAGTGTCCCCATCACTATCACACCAGTCATAGTGTGGCCATAAGGACTTGTTCACATATGTGATGCTCTCTGAAGAGCCATCCATATTCAGATCAATCTTTAGATAGCATTTGACAGCAGTGAGAAGGCATGCCTCCTTGCCAGCTATGTAACCCCTTAGACCCTGCACAAGCACCCCCATTCACTCAAATAGGACACAATCAGTAGGTGTACAGGGGGGTATAATTCCTGCCGCAGCTGAAAAGCATTTCAGCCACAGAATGTATACAAGCATGGCTGCTGCCTCTGCAGCTAAAGGGGCCATTTTACTGCCCACCAACCTCAAATGTAATGAACCCTAATAGTGCAGCCAGTCAGACACCAATGTAGCTAGAATTAGTGTTCTTCATTTGCCACCACATTAGACCAGTGCAGTAAGCAACAGTTTTCCTGATCTCTGCCACACTAGTTTCAGGGTCACTAGATTAGTGTATGCCAGCAACAGTGTTCCTCATCACAGCCACACCAGTTGCAGTGTCACCACAACAGTGTAAGCTAGCAATGGTGTCCCTGATTGTCACTACACCAGTCCCAGTGTTACCAGTTCAGAGTAAGTCAGTAGCAGTGTTGCTGATGTACTAGTCCCCAGTGTCACCAGACTAGTGTAAGTCAAAAACAGTGTCTCTGATTACCACCACACCAGTGCAGGATTGCCTCTGCCTTCTGCCTGTACTAAACCTGGCCTGTTCATTGACCGTGTTTCTGCCTGCTGCCTGGACTGATCCTTTGCCTGTTTGCTGACCATGTAGGTGCCTGTTCACTGAACTAACCTATCTGCACTTCTGACTGACTATGTTCCTGTAAGACACCAGTCCCCACCATTCCCTGCAGACAACTGCAGTCCTGGAATAACATGAACTCTTTTTTTTTCTTCCTTTCTTTAGCCTCCTGTACTTCCTAGCCAGTTAACATGGTATTCCTGGGGGCAGCTACGTACCAGTAAGCTTGGCTTATTTGGCTTGGGCTGCTATAGGCGATGCTACACTAAGCTATATTCCCTGACCACTCTTACAGAACCGACTGTTAGAGTACATTGTTTTTGATAAATTGGTTAATTTTTGTGATACACAAGATGCAATGTCCAGTACATAATCAGTCCGAAGATCGAAAAAGTCTCACACATGGGTTGTAATTCTAAGTATGCCCATGCTGTGTGTGCTTGTAAAAAATTCATTTTATATTCTTGCCGCATTTTCCAAAAACTTGTGGCAATAAAATGACTCTCCATGCCTCGTTGGAGTGTTTACTCTTCTTGGTGCTTCAGGGCCTCCAAAAATGTGAAAGATAGTCAGGAATTTAGATGTAATAATTAATGCCCCTAGAAAGCCTGAAGGTGTTTTTTGGATTTTGGGTCTCTCTATGTGCTTAGACTGTGAAAAAGTCTCACACGTGGTACTTTCAATACGCCTATGCTAAACGTTAGAAATATCTTATTAATTGATAACCTTGTGTAAAAAAAAAAACACTTTTTCATTTTCATTCTGCATTTTCAAAAAAACTTGTTCTAAAAAATGAGGTCTTCAAAAGCATACCTTGAGACCCAGAAAATACCCTGATCACAACCCCACCAGTGCACTGTTGCCTCTGTCTGCTGTACTAACCCTGGCCTATTTATTGAGCATGTTTCTACCTGCTGCCTGTACTGATCCTTTGTCTGTTTGTTGACATATCTGGTATAGAAAATACCTTGTTTGCTTTCCTAAATTCGGTAATTTTTGTGGGTGTTTCCACTGACTTGGTGCTCCAGGGCCTCCAAAAATTTGATTGGTAGTCAGAAAAATAGATGTGTAATTTATATCCTTGGAATGCTTAAAGGTCCTTGAAATCCTTGGATTTTGGGTCCATCTAGGCTGTGAAAAAGTCTCACACGTGGCGTATCTCCATATTCAAGAAGTGGTTAAATGAAATATCAGTTTAGGTGAAGAGTCTCCTTAACTGATAACTAAAGAGTACAGAGACATGATTCCAGTAAAATAATACAAAGTCACGATCAATAATGGCAATAGACTACCTACCCTTCTGGCTGTTGTAGTGTACTCCTCATAGTTTTTATTTGCTGAAAGTGATTAGACATATCTGTAGATAAAACCATCTCAATGACCAGTGTTCTCAAGTCTCTGTAAACAATTACAAAAACACAATATAATATGCTTATATATTGAAATATAGCATATATGACATATCAACAAGTTATTTTAACAGTGCTCACTGTTGGATATCTCAGTGCCTCATACCCTGTTCCCCTTCCTTTACTGCCAAGCACTTGATAAAGGAAAAGGACAAAAGATGAATAAACAAGGCATTAAAAAAAAAGAGCCACAGTCAAAATAAAGAGGAAAACAATTTTACTACACTGAACATGACCAACCACATGGCTACATGTGTGCTCTAAATAATATCTTTATAATTTTTCAGTTTAAATTGACATACATAGGCATACCGAAATGAAGCACATGCAAAGTTGTACAGTTGTTTACTTTTAATAACAGCCACAGCCTGAGTAGAGAAGTCTGACTCCTGCCAGAATGCCACAGAGAAGGTTTCTTGCTCCCTTTGGGTAGACCGTGGCTTCTCTGCAGATGTCCAACATGCCCCCTGCTGTACCAAAGCCAGGGCTCTCCAAAGAGCAGGAAGCTTGAGCGTTTCAATTCTTGGGATCTGACTCAGTAGGGGGCATGCTGGACCTTTACAGAGAGATCACTGCTTCCACACAGAACACAAGCATCCCATTTTGAAAACCAACAGTAAGACATTGAACAACTTCTGATTTTATGCACCTAGAATGTATTTGGCTGAATTAAAATTACAGTTCAATTTACTTTAATCTTTAAATAAAATACTTGATTTAAAACAGATCTTCAGTTTCTGTTTTAAAAGTTTCTCCTATAACAATTATTTCCCACTGCTATTCTTGCTGTACTTCCTACTTTTTTCACCTAGGCAAAAGATGTAGACTGTACTCCATTGAGGCCTGGGAAATCAGTGTCACAAATCCCAGGAGTCTTTGGACACATTTTTTTGTTATTATCGCGAGCTTTCAGTTCATGATTGGGTGGAGGAGGTCAGAGAGGCGTGTCTACTTGGGAGGAAGAGTGAACCTAGTAAACAAAGTGATTGCTGTGTCATGTGTACTAGCAGTTCATTGCGGGATTGCAGATGCTGGTTTTCTCGAAAGATAATGGGCACTGGCTTCAGCTGCCCTTATTGAAATGCGCCACAAAAGGTTTCCACTGTATTAATAAAAGATTTCTTTGGTAAAACAGCCTACTGGTAAAAATGAACTTCCTAAATAGGATTAATGCTCCTTCAAGTTTTTTTTTCTGTTTTAACATTTTTGACCAAGTTCCTTTAGGTAAATTACAGGCGTGCAAGCCAAGTTTCTCTAAAAGTGCGAGGGTTTTAAATGGGCATTAAATATTAGGAGTGCATTATGTACAGAGTGCAGAGTTCAGGGGTGCGATACACACAGACTTACCTTTCGCATCCCTCATCCACATCGCACTTTCACCCCTCTTCGGCTCTGACCTCTGTACACAAGCTCCCCTCTATTTCCCTCATCTCTCCCCCCTCCTTGAAATCTTCACTATCTTCCACTTGTCTTACTTTTGTTGCCATATTAGGGTAAGTACCCAACCAACTCTAGTACCTCTCCACACACCGTAGGTGGCTCTCCCTCTCTCACTTGCCATGAGATCATCTAGCAGGCGGTGTTGGCATCCAGATACCAGGGAAAAAATGGAGATTACAGAGAGTGCAGCCTAGCATGTGCCCCTTCCGCTCATTACCACACTGCACCCCGGATACTCGTATCTTTCCTGTGCCCCATCCTACACTCAGTGGGAGCCGCTCAGGTTATCAGATCTGTGAGAGCCACTGGGAGGCAAGCTGTCACTTCATATATATATATATACAGTGGGGCAAAAAAGTATTTAGTCAGCCACCAATTGTGCAAGTTCTCCCACTTAAAAAGTTGAAAGAGGCCTGTAATTGGCATCATAGGTAGACCTCAACTATGAGAGACAAAATGAGAAAAAAAATCCAGACAATCACATTGGCTGATTTGGAAAGAATTTATTTGCAAATTATGGTGGAAAATAAGTATTTGGTCAATATCAAAAGTTCATCTCATTACTTTGTTTTTATATCCTTTGTTGGCAATGACAGAGGTCAAACGTTTCCTGTAAGTCTTCACAAGGTTGGCACACACTGTTGCTGGTATGTTGGCACATTCCTCCATGCACATCTCCTCTAGAGCAGTGATGTTTTGGGGCTGTCGCTGAGCAACACAGACTTTCAACTCCCTCCAAAGGTTTTCTATGGGGTTGAGATCTGGAGACTGGCTAGGCCACTCCAGGACCTTGAAATGCTTCTTACAAAGCCACTCCTTTGTTGCCCGGGCGGTATGTTTGGGATCATTGTCATGTTGGAAGATCCAGCCACGTTTCATCTTCAATGCCCTTGCTGATGGAAGGAGGTTTGCACTCAAAATCTCACGATACATGGCCCCATTCATTCTGTCCTGTACATGGATCAGTCGTCCTGGTCCCTTTGTGGAGAAACAGCCCCAAAGCATGATGTTTCCACCCCCATGCTTCACAGTAGGTATGGTGTTCTTTGGATGCAACTCGGCATTCTCTCTCCTCCAAACACGACGAGTTGTGTTTTCTACCAAACAATTCTATTTTGGTTTCATCTGACCATATGACATTCTCCCAGTCCTCTTGTGGATCATCCATATACTCTCTAGCAAACTTCAGACGGGCCCGGACATGTACTGGCTTAAGCAGGGGTCACGTCTAGCACTGCAGGATCTGAGTCCCTGGCGGCGTAGTGTGTTACTGATAGTAGCCTTTATTATGTTGGTCCCAGCTCTCTGCAGTTCATTCACTAGGTCCCCCCGTGTGGTCCTGGGATTTTTGCTCACCGTTCTTGTGATCATTTTGACCCCACGGGGTGAGATCTCCCAGATCGAGGGAGATTATCAGTGGTCTTGTATGTCTTCCATTTTCTAATTATTGCTCCCACAGTTGATTTGTTCACACCAAGATGCTTGCCTATTGCAGATTCAGTCTTCCCAGCCTGGTGCAGGTCTACAATTTTGTTTCTGGTGTCCTTCGACAGCTCTTTGGTCTTCACCATAGTGGAGTTTGGAGTGTGACTGTTTGAGGTTGTGGACAGGTGTCTTTTATACTGATAACAAGTTCAAACAGGTGCCATTGATACAGGTAATGAGTGCAGGACAGAGGAGCCTCTTAAAGAAGAAGGTACAGGTCTGTGAGAGACAGAAATCTTGCTTGGTTGTAGGTGACCAAATACTTATTTTCCACCATAATTTGCAAATAAATTCTTTCCAAATCAGCCAATGTGATTGTCTGGATTTTTTTTCTCATTTTGTCTCTCATAGTTGAGGTCTACCTATGATGCCAATTACAGGCCTCTTTCAACTTTTTAAGTGGGAGAAATTGCACAATTGGTGGCTGACTAAATACCTTTTTGCCCCACTGTATATATATATATATATATATAGTAAGGGGGTTTGCTCAGCAGCATAGAGCCTAAATCTTGGACAAATGTATCTGCCATCCTGGACGCAACCAGGTGATTTTACCTGCCTACTGTCACAATATATAATTGTTTATTTTTTTAAATATATATATATGTATTTGCTATGGATGAATAATAATTCTGAGGGTCCTCAGATAAAGTATTATTTTCAAAAAACTTATGTTTTACCTCCAGTCGTCTTTGGATACATTTACCAAAATATTCATGTCATCCTCTTGCATTATTCGATAGGCAGCACTGACATGATGATTCTCTAGTACGGAACGATCATTATACAATATTGCAGCATCTGACCTAAACAAAGAAAATAAAGCCGCAAAGAATATTAAACCTTTCATGGCCAGGAGTCATTGCAGCCTAAAACTAAATTATTCCATATCAGTATGAATCAATTAATCTGACTATTAGGCTAGGTTCACATCTGTGCGGGTGGTGCTGCTGCAGATCCGCACAAAAATCTGTGCAACCACACCACCTGCACAGAGGAATGCGGACCTGTGGGAGGGTACCATTAGTTTTAATGGCACGCCACCTGCACTGGAAAATGCAACCGTACTGGGAACCGAGGTTCCCATGCGGTCTGCGTTTTCAGAAGAAGTGCAGGGACATCTTCTCTGCATGTCATGGGGCACGGGAGTCCATTCAAATGAATGGGCTCTCGTGCCCGCACAACACGCGGCCCGCACAGCTTCATATATGTGAACCATGGCCAACTGTATGAACAATCTGTCAGTTTGACAGCTGGGTCTGATAACTAGGAACACTCACAGGTGAGCATTCCTAGGTTTCTGCTGCAACATTAATGAATGTTCTCACAGCATGGAGTCCATGCAATCACAAAGCAGTTAATTTTATTTGACATTTACAGCTGTAGTTCAATCTGCTTATATTTTTCCTTCCTTGGTCTCTCCCATCCCCCCTTTATTAACTTTCTAATTCAATTAATAAATAAATCCCTTCTGTTTTTATTACATACTTTATTTTAGACCCAGCGACATCATCACTAGGTCTTTGCTTCTCCATGATTTCAATCACCATGATTGAAATAACTGAAATGCAATTAATGAAAGGAGTGGGCCAGGGACAGTAAGCCTGAGGAACAAAGGGCTTGATAATACTTGATGTCCTTTAGCCAGAAAATGAGGCAGACGCTATCTGATTTGTTGCAACTTCTAATGCACATTGTGACAAACTTAAAGTATACAGTGACATCAATGTAAGCAATTTCAGTACAAGACAGGAGTCTGTACAACTATGCCAGAAAGAAAATAAGACTGGAGCTCAGCTTTAAAAATGAAAAAAAATATTTAAAATATTGTTATTATAGAATGTGTTTCTTGTAATCAATGGAACCCCACTTTTTCACCAATAAAACAGTTTCCCAGGATGTCTATTAAGATTGGGTTGGCACTGAAAATTTATACTACAAAAATATATAATATTAAAATAAAAATAGCACCAATAATATATCTAAAGAACCAATTTGTTTCCCAGTCCTAAAGCAATATGTAACTTTCCTATTGAAGTTGACACATCACAAAAAGAAAATCACAATTTATGTTAATCAATAAGGCACATTACCAAATTACTTTTATTCTTGTCATGAAAAATATTGCTGCAGTAAGTGCCATCATGTCACCTAAAAATAATGACACCAAACTAACATTTCTTTTTACAAAATAAAACAAATACTTAAATAATAAGTAGTAAATATAAGTAGAATGTACCCCCTATCCCTTTCTTCCTCTGCTTCATCTCATAAATGCAAGCTTTTTCCTGCTGTTCTCAGACTTTCTGTTCTAGGGTGGCTACATTCGTTCCCCATGCCCCTTTTGCATATGTGATTGTAGCCACCTTTTCCTGGTCACCCCCAAGATGCACCACATATCTATATGCAGACACATTCAGATCTATGGAAATTGTCATACACATAGAGTGGAGCATGCGCCCAGAAATAATGATGGCAAAGCTCTCTCTACACAAGTAGCAGTGAAGTGCATCAATGGAGGTTAGCGAGCATACACAGGACCTTAAAGAAACCTGAAAACAATGGGAAAACATAAAAAAAAAAAAAAACAGAACCACGGTATCCTTGAGATTTTATAATAATTGATGTAATTTTTTAATGTAAATTTGAGTTTAGTGTCACGTTCAGCTGGCCGTAGACAGCTTAAATATTTGTGATTCCTACTGAATCCTCTTCAAAAAAATGACCTGAAAAGTGACTGCATTTTCTCAAAGACTTCATACTGTAATCATTGTTGTTGACCTGGTAAGTAAGCTCTTTAGCTGACCAGTGAATACACTTTCATAAGTACAAAAACAGCTGTGGCTTCATTTCCAGAACAGAATGAAATCGGCCTGGAAAATATAAGAAAATGTGTAAACTATGAAAAGTGTCCGAATATTCTAATAAATTCCAGGACCAGCAGAAAAATGCTCCATATAATTTAAGTTTTCCCAGAGGATAGGGTGTAATGAGTGTGTGCTCCTTTGCAGCCATCAAAAAATTGGCAGATTTTTTTTACCTTGTCTGTATATGGAAGTTGTTTGTGGTCCCAGTGTGCTCATAGTCATGGATAGCAGCAGCTAATATCATTGCCAAAATTTCCAGTTCTGTGAGCCAGTGCTGCCAAAGTGAGATAAATATATTATTACAGATATTGTCATAAAAAGCCAATTTATATGTGTTAATTCCAAACAAAAATTTCAGGGCTGGTATCCCAGATAGCATAATGTTTGTCAGATTTAGATAAATGGTATACAAAACTTCCCTTGACAGTCTAAAGCACTTTTGTGGGTTTCTATAATGTTTATTGGGAATATTTAAAAATTCTAACGTATTTTATAGTTCTATACTTTTCACTACCATACCCCTGCATTCTCCTCTTACACATACTGCCCCATGTTGTATCCTCCAGCAATTAATTCCACTGTGATGGCCTCTTCTTCTGCACATACTCTCCATTGGCATATCCTACACACTCCTCTCCAGCACCTAATTCCCACTGTCATACTCCCTGGATCCCTTCTCCTCCACATGGAAGAAAAAATATATTTTAAATATATTTTAAAAATATTATTCCCAAATATATTGACATATATTTTAAATACTACAATTTTGGCCGTATTCAATATATTTCAAAATATATATATACAGTATATATATATATATATATTTTACATATGGTATACATACGGTATATACATACAGTATATATATATCTATATATACGTATAAATATATATATACCGTATGTTGAAATGGGTTTTTTTTATTGATTACAAAATATATGACATTTTTTAAAAACATATATATTTTTAAAATATATTCTTCAGATTTTTTTAACATATAAAAAATGTAATTCTAACATATATTTGTAATGTAATTCTGAAAATATAGATTAAATGTATTTTTAAAGACATACAGTATATTTGAAAATGTATTTTTAAAAATATTTTTCATATATTTTGTAATATATATAAAAACCGCATTTCAATATATATATATTTTCGGCGTATAAGACGACTGGGCGTATAAGACGACCCCCCTACTTTTCCTGTTAAAATACAGGGTTTGGGCTATACTCGCCGTATAAGACTACCCCCCTCTTCCAACCAATCACGGCAAGCAATGTACCAGTATTTTCTGTGCACACTGTGCACACTGCATACAAAGCCTGCTTGGATTGGGTGGGTCAGCTCTCCCTGCCTGCCCAGCCCTGCCTGTCTCCAAGATACCATAAATTGCACAGAACTGCCACAGACATTATAATATTTAATAATTACCGTATCTCATAGCAGTTAAGGGGACAAGGTCGGATGCAGCAGTACCATACCGGTACTTCCGAGCTGACACTTCTGCACATGTCTAGGGCAGCAGTAGACGATCACTGATCACCATTCCTCGCAGAACTGCATGAGACGTCGGATGCAGCCGTTCAGTGCTCGATTGATCGTGACTGAAACTGTGACATGCGCAGAATCACTGTGTATCCCTTCTCTGCATATCACTTTTCAGCAAGCTCAATCGAGCACTGCTGCATCCGACGTCTCATGCAGTTCTGCGAGCTACGGTGATCCGCGATCGTCTACTGCTGCCGAAGACATGCGCAGTAGCGTCAAACCGGAAGTACGGTAAGGTTTCAGCACAGCACCCGGCGTATAAGACGACCCCCGACTTTGTAGACGATTTCCAGGGGTTAAAATGTCGTCTTATACGCCGGAAAATACGGTATATATATATATATATATATATATATATATATATTTATTTTTTTTTTTTTTAAATATATTGAAAATGGCCACAAATTTAGTATTTCAAATATATGTCAATATATTTGGGAAGAATATTTTTAAAATATATTTAAAATATATTTTTCTTCCATGTGGGCCTGCACATGCTGCTTGCTGTCATAGCCTCTTGCAGTCCTCCCCTAACCATACTGCCTGCTTTCAGAAATATCTACACTCATCTCTGAAACTTTTGCCTGTATTGATACCCATCCACACTCCTCTTCTGAACATTTTGCCTGTTGTCATACCCATCCACACTCTTCTGAACATTTTGCCTGTTCATATCCATCCACACTCCTCTCCTGAACATTTTGCCTGTTGCCATACCATCCACACTCCTCTTCTGAACATTTTGCCTGTTGTCATACCCATCCACACTCCTCTTTGAACATGCTACCTGCTGTCTTGCTCTTTGGCACTTCTATGCCTGTCATAAACCTTTGGTGTGACTGGGGCTCCTGCATATAAGTCTGTAAGGGAGCTGTTCTACCCTTTTTTGATTACCAGCCAGTGGGTGGAGTTCTATGCTTTTATAAACTGTTGCCTGAAGAATAGTGGGGCTTCCAGGCCTATGCCCAGTGGGGAGACTCCATGTGAGGACCCATTGCTGGGGGACTCACGAAAGAGCATTTGGGAAGATAGCTGGACTTAAAGAGTTTGAGTTGGTGGCACTGATGTGTTCTGCTAACAGTGATGTTTAGAAGCTGCTGTGCCAAATTCGTTATTCAGTAAATCATTGGAAAAGCATTGTTTGTAGAAATTCCTAATTAAAAAGGTGGGCCTTGTGTTTGGAGCATGTGTGACACCATATGGTAGAGTTTCTCCTAGAGACAGATATGTTTGCAGCCTATCCCATGAAGATGTGGGGTTGAGTCCCTGGCCACTCTCTCTTCTCCCACACATACTGTATGCTATCATGTCCTTCAGACTCCTCTCCTGCACAGCTAGCACTCCTCTCCTACACACCCTATCTACTGTCATACCCTCAGAACATCTATCGGACATGACTGGGTATTCAAAGTGAACACAGGTTAACCTTATTATACCTTCACTTTACTAAATGAACAGCCTCTATTATTTAGTAAATAATCATCAAGAGTTTTACTTATTGACATTTCTGTGTATAAACAAATCTGCACTGTTTGTTTTATTCCTAACCTTGCCCATCCTCTGTACATGATTGTGAACTCTAAGGCTTAGTTTACATGTGCAGTTGGGGTGTGGTAAAAATAGGCGATTGAGTCACAATTTTACCTCTCTTCTTAAGCTGAAAAGGCTGCCAGATGGAGTTGTACACATGCTGCAGCTGTGATGCTTTGTAGCACAGCAAAAATTATATTCCATCATGTTCTGTGGGCAGACTGCTGGTAAGCACATCATATTCAAGTGAATGAGACCATGCCACAACCACTAGCCAAGCACTAAGCTTGCAGCTGTGGCTCAGTATCCCTCTTTAGCTGTCAAAAAAAGCATTCTGAAGGTGGCAGTATCACCTCAACTTCACCACTTTATGGAAAGTAATCTACTGCAAATCTCTCCTCAAAGAACAACTCAGGAGTATTTAGGATAGCGAAACACAATTTTAGTTTACCCAATTTGTTAGGTAAGCATCCTCTACTCCTTTAGAAAATAAACCCCATTCAATACAGAATAATCTGGAATTCACAGTAAGCTCTTTTGTGGCTTGTTCTTAGTCTGGAAACAGGTGCATACTTATGCCCTGCACACACGATAAGAAAATTGTACAAAACATTTCCCGGAACCACTGATCGAACGATTTTCTCTTCGTTGATGAGCAGGATGTTTTAACCAATAACAATACTGTGAACGAAAAAATCTGGTTGAACAACAGTGAAAAGGTTTGTCGTTTCTCATACAAACGACCGATTTTCTATGCGGTAGTATGACGGTCGTCCAAAAAAAATCTATCAAGCACTATCATGCATGAGCGGAAGATGACCCAGATGTTTATGTCCAAGGAATCTTCGTAAACACAAACAAAAACTCCAAATGTTAAAAGTAGATTGGCCTAATGAGATAATGAAACCAGAATTCTGCATATTATATTTTATGTATCACTATTTATGTATATAGGTCATGTAATAAACTATATTATACTGCTGTTAATTGTTGTGTATGTCGCTCGTTCTGGCCAGAAGGGCGTGGCCACAAGGTCACACGCACACTGCATCACTTCCACTTGTACGGAAGACATCAACACCACATATTGCCCAACAAACGATTTTTTTAGATTGGTTAATGTGGGCCATGGTTTCGACCAACGAATGAGCGCCTCTCGGTCATCGGATGACCAATCGGTCAATTTTCTAATCGTGTATTCCCACCTTTAATGTACATAAAATGTGTTGCATATTTCACTTGTGTTCTGAGAAAATGTTTCTTACCATGATACCTGTATGCAGCAATATGTAGTGCACAGTTTGGGTAACATCAGCTGCATGGACTAAATTGTGGTATGGATTTTTGTGTTTGCTGTAACCAACTTCTAAAGCTTCAACAAACGATACAAGGCAAGAAACAGGAATCTACAAAAGAGGAATGAAAATCAGTTATGTGCACTCTTACTACATAAATCTGTAGATTATCATTGGGAGAAAATGTAAGAATAAGCAATAATAATATCCTACATTCTTTGTGTCTGTATAAACTGGATAAATGTGACTAAGCACAAATGCCCCAGACATTGCAAAGAGCTTTCTCACCAAAAAGATAAACTGCCAAGTCAGAACTGGAGTCAGTTTACTTAAAGATGAATTCTGGCTGGCAGTTAGGGTCACTGCACCTTAAGGCTAAGTTCACACTATCTTTGTAGGCAGCTCCTCAAACGCCTATGAAAATTATACACATGGCAGCACATGGTGCTGTTCACACTGAAGTGTTAGAGTCGCGGCAAAATTGACGCCTCATGTTCAGTCAGGAGGAGTTGAAGCCATTGAACGCCTCCCATTCAAATCTATGGTGATGCTCCTCAAAATGCCTGACAGTCGTTTGCAGGGCGTTTGTGAGGCATTTGTGAGGCATTTGCAGGGCGTAAATGACATTAACTTCATTATAGGAATTTGTGGAGCGGTTTTAATACCTGGAATATGCCCATGATACGCTTTAAAAACGTGCATAGGGCGTTTGGGGAGTGTTGGAGAGTGTTAAAAACGCTCCCCAAATGACTGTCAAACGCTATAGGGGCGTTTAGGAAGAAGTCAAGTGTGAACAAGCCCTAACTTTTGTTTTATTTAGTTAACTAGAAAATATATAATTACCTTAAAGCGATTAATAAGGTCATATCGTGTAAACAGTTCATAAACCATAAATTTAAGTGCATGTTCTCCACTAGCTTCATTTAAAGAAAACACATTAAAAGACCATCGATCGATATCCTGTTGATAAAAAAAGAGAAAAATGTACGTAAAATAAAAATATATTTTACTGAAGTCTATCATCCAATTCAACTTTATTATTGTAAGAAAGAGGACACTCAATTACTGGGTACAAAAATGCAATGTGTGTGTGTGTGCACAAGAAGGCCTGGCCTGCTGTCTCTCTCTAATTCATCCCAAATGTGTTCTATCAGGTTGAGGTCAGGACTCTGTGCAGGCCAGTCAAGGTCCTCCACCCCTAAACTCGCTCATCCATGTCTTTACGAATCTTGATTTGTGCACTGGTGTGCAGTCATGTTGGAAGAGGAAGAAGCCATCCCCAAACTGTTCCCACAAAGTTGGGAGCATGAAATTGTCCAAAATGTCTTGGTATACTGATGCCTTAAGATTTCCCTTCACTGGAACTAAGGGGCTAAGCCCAACCCTTGAAAAACAACCCCAAACCATAATCCCCCCTCCACCAAACTTTACACTTGGCACAGTGCAGTTAGGCAAGTACTGTTCTCCTGGCAACCGCCAAACCAAGACACGTCCATCAGATTGCTAGAGAAACGTGATTTGTCACTCCAGAGAACACGTCTCCACTGCTCTAGAGTCCAGAAGCGACGTGCTTTACACCACTGCATCTGAAGCTTTGCATTGCCCTTGGTGATATAAGGCTTGTGTGCAGCTGCTCAGCCATGGAAACCCATACTATGAAGCTCTCTACACACTGTTGTTGTGCTAGGCTGAAGGCCACACAAAGTTTGGAGGTCTTTAGCTATTGACTCTGCAGACAGTTGGTGACTTCTGCGCACTGTGCGCTTCAGCATGCGCTGACCCTGCTCTGTCATTTTACGTGGCCTACCACTTCATGGCTGAGTTACTGTTGTTCCCAGTTGCTTCCACTTTGTTCTAATACCACTAACAGTTGAAATGCGGTAGTATGACGTTGGAATATTTAGTAGCAAGGAAATTTCACGGATGGACTTATTGCACAGGTGGCAACCTATCATGGTACCACACTTGAATTCACTGAGTTCCTGAGAGCGACCCATTCTTTCATAAATGTTTATAGAAGCAGTCTGCATGCCTAGGTGCTTGGCCTGTGGCCATGGAGGTGAATGGAACACCTGAATCCAAAGATATGGAGGGTATCCCAATACTTTTGGCAATATAGTGTATATGTATATATATATATATATGTGCGTGTGTGTGTAATGTGTGTACACTGTATATATACAGTATATTTATGTCCTGAACATACATACATGCGTCTTCACAAATTCAGGGCTCAGTCCATTATAGAGTATTAATTTAAGAATCAAGGACCACCTTCATTTAATTTAGGTATGGATACTGTAAATAACATTATGCTCATTATACTTTGTATATCAGAGCACAAGTCTGACAACCTAAAGTTATGGCCATTTAACAGACCAGCTACTGGCAGAAAAAGTTTAAAATAAACTTAAATACTTAAATAATAATAACTCAAGTACACTGCACCAATTATGAACCCTCCCCCCCCCCCCTTTTGGCCATCTTTACAGCTTATTTTGTCTCATTATTTATTTAACCTCCTATTTTAGTTCTCTGTTAAACTATTGAAAAGTAAAAATTTCTATCAGGTTCTTTTTTTGTCACGCAATTTCTAACATTTCCTTACTTTACTAAAAAGTGTGTTTTTGACTGTTTTCCGAATAGAAATTTCTTATCACTTGCTGTCCTGATAGAAAATAAGTGGATGGTTCTCCAAAAGGGAGTAATCTTTGAGGTGATCATAGTTTAGTACTGCTTGGACCATGAAGAAGGGGGTACACCTCTAAAGCTAGTCCTAAAATTTTGTTTGGACATGAGTGCAAATAAAAAAAAGTATCATGGACAGTTCTCAATTGTTTCTGTCAAAAGGGATTTAGATAGTAATGTAACCAGAGGCCATAACCCTTGTACATTGTATCCAAAAGATGCTTTGGCTGGAGCTGGACATATAAATATATGTAGACATTCAAATGGAAGGTTGCAGCAGCCATTGGTTTTACATAAAATCTAAATATATTAAAATAAATACATAAAATATAACAGACAGTTACAGTCCCTGAGTATTTTTCAAGTGCTGTTACAATGTGGGTTAGAGGATGTTAGGTTTTCTTAAGTCTAAATATAATATGTACCTGTGATTTTATTGTAGTGCTCACACATATTTCATCTCACGAAGTTTAAAATAGATGCATTTATAATTGTCAATTCCCAAGACAATCTGTCTCATATGGTCATGTTAACAGGAAAGGGGAAAGAAATATAATTTGTTATATTAACTGTGTTTGATATAACCAGACAAATGTGTCCTTAAAAAGAAATTCAGCCAGTTTTTTAAGATCAATTGCAAGTGAAATGATCGTGATTCGGCTTTATGAGATCTTAACAAGTGGTCAATCTGAATTGTGCTATTTTAGTGGAAAAATAATTTTTAATCATCCGCATTAAGTGAACATCTTAAAATATTAATGCACAGTAAACATTTGATCTCGGCAAGCATCATTTATATCCTTATTAAAAATTCCATATACAAAGCCACATGACAGAATTTATGACCTTTAGCAAAGGTACAAGTCAATCTATATTCTCCATAGTTTTTTTTACCTAATATTAAAAAAGTCTCATTGTTATCAAACTGCAACCATTAAATTTTATAGTAAGAACATAAACTGTGGGAGAGTAATGCTTCATCTAGCAACCTCTTATTTAAATAGAATGCTATCCAGTCACCGTTTTGCTGTGAAAGTAAAATTCCACGGCAGAGTGGGGCAGATATTAATTCCTGGCCAGGTTGCTAATGTAGTTTTAGACACTGGCGTAGGGTCCTCTCTCATCTGTCAAACATGAACAAATACTTGAAATGAAAAATAGGATGTTACAACTGAGTTTCTTGGGTTCATCTGATCAATCCATGTCAACCAGATTAGTTACATTTACCGTAATGTTAAAGAAGTTTCACCGCTTATCTAAGTGGCTTCCTTAGTCCAAATGGGAGTCAATAACATACCGCTGCATTTATAGTAACATGTGGTACCTAGAGCAGGGGTGTAAAAAACTGGCGGCCCTCCAGCTGTTGAGAAACTACAAGTCCCGTCATGCCTCTATCTTTGGGAGTCATGCTTGTAACTGTCAATCTTGCAATGTCTCATGGGACTTGTAGTTTGGCAACAGCTGGAGGGCTGCTAGTTTGACACCTGTGATCTAGAGGATATTAACATATATAGGTAAGGTTGATCCAGGGAATATCCGATTGCCTCTCAGGGGATCAGGAAGGAACTTGTTTCCCCTGCATTAGCAAATTGGATCATGCTTTGCTGGGTTTTTTGCCTTCCTCTGTGCTGGATGGACTTTTGTGTTTTTTCAGCCAGACAAACTATGGAACTATGATGTAGAATATTAATGCAAATATTATATTAAATTTAATTCCAGAGTCAGATCATGATTAAAAGTTAAAGTGGTAGTAACAGTATGAGATTTCCCTTAATATTCCAACCAGACCCTTATTTTGACATGCACTCTGGGTGGCTAGGAAAGGGAGGACAGCCTGAATGTGCACATGCCTTTAAACATTGGGGGGATGAGCTTGCAAGGAGGGGGAATCCTTCCTTAATGTTGAGGGACATGGGGCCTCTTTGCTACCTCAAGTGTCACACGAAGGAGGTGATAGTAACATGGGGGGACTTGCAGTGAAATGGGGCAACCCCTTTATAATAAGGTGTCACCCAGATATCTAGCCCTTCCCAGGGGAATAAGTATAGTGGTATGTCAATCATGCTGTCTAGAGATGTAAAGAGATCCATGTTAATCATAATGATTTGTCTCACTCCACCCCCCCCCCCCCAATGTTTATACACCATACACCTGTCACAAAATTACCAAATGTAAGGATCCCAGGTGAACCTATTAAATACAATTCTACTAGATAGCATCTTAGCAGTTATCTGGATACAGTCTCTTATTTGAGCATGTATTGTAATTTCACATTATATGAATTAAAAGCTACATTTAGAGAGAAAATTGCTGTGGTCCTCAACAGAGAGAATTTTCAAAATAATTTAAACGTGAATTAATACAATTTGGTCCTGGAAAAAGACATGTTGTATTCAGGACAAATGCAATGTTTCACTTCCAGATAGCTGGAACCTTTCATCAAGACTGCAAAGTGACATTAACTTACTAAACAACTAGAAATATTTACTCCCGTCCATTGAAGGCACTGAGAGCCCATTACAGGAGAAATCCAAGTGATAGCTTTCACAGAAAAAAACAAACAGTAACTTTCGGAGTGTTGGCACTTTTTACACAAAAGTGTATGATGTAATTGAAAAAAAATCTAAATTAAGTTTTAAGTTAACTTGCAGTGTTTAGTGATATGTTTATTATTACTGATGTTCTTACTGCTCTTTGTAGCAGAAACCCTAGTAACAATCACTATTTTTAAAAATATCAATCACACAACTTCCTTCAGCTTGTTATAAAAAGTTGTCTGTAACCGCTATCTGATGGGAAAATACAACACTCCTAATGAGTGTCATCTATATTGATCTGAAAAATGATTAAGAAATCCCGTTTTTGTTGTAGACGCAGGGTGAGAATGTCTAAAGAATACGACTTTTATCAGTTATATGTTTTTCTAGCCAAAAATTTATATCCTCCTTTAATGTTGATATGAACATTTTCAGATTTACCTGCTTGTGTCTTATCTTATCTGTTCTCCTTTTTTTTTTTTTCCTTCCAACTCCAAAACACCTCTTCTAACCCTTTGTGATCAGTACTACTTTGACCTGAAGAAGGGGACACTCCCCGAAAGCTTGTCCTTAAAATTGTTTGTTAGTGCAAATAAAAAAGTATCACGGACAGTACTCAATCATATTTACCTGAAAACAGTATCTTTCATGACAATGTGGAATATGTCCACATTCTTCATAAATGGCCTTTTACTGAAGAAATCAGATTTACTAATCTAATTCCTATTGACAATG